AACCACTGAAAGAGCTCCCTGTAAATTACTTGATATGGCGCGCGCATTGCATGCGTTAGCCACCCTAGTCATATCATAAGTCTTCACTAGCTAGAAAAAATACTACCTCTTTTTCTTTTTATTTGCAAAAAATGGGTATTTTATGTGAGACATAAGAAAATTCATTTGTTGCAATAAAAAGGAACAGGGTAGTATTTCGGGAAATGGTCAAGAATGCGGAATGTCACTCATAATACTTACAAAATAAAAGAAAAAGTTTTGGAAAAATGTTCCAGTTTATACTCCCTCTGTTCTTAAAAATTCGACTCGCATACGGTAAATTCTTATTGAGAAGGTTTTGCGTGTGACCGGATTCACCGTGAGTCCAATATGTCTGACAAGAAATAATATTCTAATATTTGACAATGGTATTCTAATATATACAATAATAATCTAATACCAAACAATACTAATCTAATACTTGACAATAACAATTTAATACTAAACAATAATAATCTAATACCTGACATTATTTTCTCCTTCACCACTGACCCTCTTCTTCTTTCATGGCTACAATATTTTCTCACTCCTCAACCCTCATATTTCACATCATCTCTAACAAGCCCTAACAATTCATCTCCATCCGACACCTTCCCCTCCAAACTCACACTCAAAGCTCTCCTCGACTTAATCACCACAGCACGAGGCATTAGAACATTTCTCGATGCCGAAGTAGCAGCAGCAAACGCCGCCCCAGGCTTCCTACTAACTCTGCCACCGAAAATCAACGAAATTCTGCACATTCTGCGGCGGAATCGGCGGTCTTCTACTAGATCTTCCAGCAAATTCAAGTCTGCTCGGCAGTGATGGTCTCGAGATTCGTGTAGAGGTCGGGATTGTAGGAATCCGCCACTGCAGAAGCGTCACCGAAGAGGAATGACGATATGATTGAGGAGTGTTATTGTGCGAAATTGGGGGAAGTGTATTTATGTAGGCGTACATATGGTGAGTTCGTTCTACACAAAATTTTCACATTCTTATTCTGGGAAAAGTTTACAAAAAATAGCTAGAGTGATTGTAAGCAAAATGTAAATAACATAAAAGAGATAGAGCAAGTGTTAGGGAAGATGTGGATAGTGAGTGAAAAAGTGTAAAAGGGATTTGATAATGTTTGAATAAAATAAAAGTGAGAAGAGTTTATTTAAGAGATTATGCCACTTATGAAAATGATATATTTTATCCAAATGAAAAAAGATAATTGTGTGGTCAGCCCATCTCCCCCCAGGGTCGTCTTAAACATTTTAGGTGCTCTGTTCTAATCGTAAAAATGAGCCCTAATATTAAAAAAAATTAAAAGAAAATGTAGGTTTAATAATTACTTCTCTCAATTATAATAAAAAAAATCTTTTTTTATTGAATTAAAAAAAGAAAACACGCAATACCTCGTTCTAAAATTTCTAGAACATGGAAGCTTTCATCAATCCTCTCCAAGAATTAAAATATATCAATCTTTCGGACAACTTAAATACTTTGATGATTTGTAAGGCAAAATCAATCTATTATTTTTTCCTTTAACAACAAATTCGATCAATAATCTTTTATGAAAAGATAGAAATTGGTAGGAGTACATATTGAATGAAGAATTTTAACCTTCAAAACTGAAATTAAATGAAAAATGGATTTAATTGCTCCATTGACAATTACGGAGTAATATTGCAGAAATTAAAAGAAATAATATGAAAGGTTTGAGATTTTTTTGGGAATTACTAGAATAACAAAGTAATTAAAGGGATTTTTTTTTTAAATGGAGACATTAAAGAAGTAAAAGATTTGGAATATGAAAAATTGAATCTTTTCGTTAAAAACTAGGAAGTTAATTAGAGTTTCTTTTTTAGTACATTAGAGCATCCACAATGGTTAGCTACATCTCTTGTAGCTTTGGTTTGCCACACGATTATTTTTCAAACTACATCATTTAAGCTACAACCTTCATAATGGCACTACTACCTTTTACAAAATAAATAAATAAATAAAAGAGAGAGTTAATTGCAAGCAAGGACCTACTTCCTCCATTTCTATTTAGTTGACGCGTTTAATTTAGGCACACATATTAAGGAGAGGAGAGAGAATGATAAAACAAGTGGGGTAGACTATTAAATGCAAAGTATAAAACCTACCAAAAAAAAACGTGTCAACTAAAATAAACTTTTTAAAAAGGAATATGTGTCAACTAAATAAAAAGGAGGTAGTATTATTCAAAGTTGACAACAACTGCTTTGGGTGAAGTGAAACTACATAGCTTTGTAGAGCTATGTAGTATTTTGAATACAACAAATAAATAAAGAGGTAAAAAGATAGAAAGAAAAAAAGAGAGATAAATTGCATTAATAATTTTCCAAAAAAAAAAAAAAAGAAATCAGTGAGATCACACTTTCTCTCTCTAATACCAAAAAGTAGTCAACCCTTTTAGCTCCATAATGGTGAGCTACTAGCTCAAACTATTTAAAAATTGCAAGCAAGGACCTATTTACAACCATTGTGGATACTCTTAGGAGCTGTTCACTTACTATTTAAAAATTGCAAGCAATGACCTATTTACAACCATTGTAGATACTCTTAGAAGTTGTTCACTGCCATTAAGGGAAGAAGGGAAGGAAGTTTCATAAGTCTTAATTTTAATGCTTAAAAAAATATATGGGTCATTTTGGTTTTAGGGCCAAGCGTAACAAGCCTGCTTGCATAGACCCAAAACCGGCCTTACCTCCCCCACCCCGACCCTACTTGCTCGTTGACAGGATAAAGTCGTATCTCCTAATTAAAAGAATTACCTAAGTCTTCTAACTAAAGCATATAGGGAAGTAGGGTCGAATCCACAGGGAAACAAGTCTTTCTATTCCTAATTAATTAATATAATCTAAACTATTAAGTAACCAAATTATTTTTTTAGGGGAATTAAACTAAGAAGAATAATTAAACTAAAGCAAATTAAACTAGGGAGAAATCAATATATCAAAGCCTAGGGTATAGGTTCACTAATAAATAATATACCAAGGTAAAGCATAACAATCAATTATCAATGCATCAATTATTCAGATCATAAAGGGCTTTCGCTACGTATTACAATCACAGAATTAATCTACCGGTATTAAATCGCATCTCTCGAATCTTAACTTAACTATTTATAAATTAATTTGCCTATTGAAACTAAGCCTTTACATCAATTCTCATCTCTTGAACTCAAATCAATATTGCATAACTCACACAATTAAACCAGGCCTAATCTAATTGCATAGCATTAAATCAATCAATAGGAAATCAATCAAGCATTGACAATCAACAATAATAAATTACCCCTTCATATTATTTATGGATCCTCACAAACCCTAGAAATAAAACTACTCACACATATTATTAAATCTAAACTAAGCAAAGAAAATAAATAGGATATGATTAACCAAAGCAATTACATTACTGGAAATAAAAGGAGAATAAATCGTTACCAAAATAAACGGAAATAATGAATTGCATAAACCAAAAGTGTTGAGAGGACAAGAGTATTAACCAAAAGCTTAAAACTAAAATCTGGAATTTTTACTAATGAAAAAAGTAAGTCAAAATCTCACTTAGCAAAGCGTACTTATACATAAGCTGAAAATCCTAAGACTAATCGAAGTGAAAGAGTCACTAATCACCCCTCATAAACACACGCCCGGTCGGGCGCCATCTCGCCCGGCCGAGCCCACCTTTAGCTGGGAAAGTGCTTCGCTCGCGCCTCCGGGCAAAGAGAGCTTTTCTTCTTTCTACCTCGCCCGGCCGGGCACGCCCCAGGGCGAGGACACTCCCCGTTCGGGCGAGCTTCCAGGCTACATGGACTCTTCAATTTGGGCTCCTTCTTGGCCCAATCTGGAATTTCCTCCTTGGGTCTTTAATACTTGGTCCATTGCCTTGGTCTCTTCTTCTTCAGCGAGCCCTTAATCACCAGCTTGATTGCCCCAACACGGTCTTGGGCTACGGAATGTGGTCATATGAACGCGATCCTACTCCAATGCTCGTAGTGGCTCAAATAAGTCCGGAAAAAATCTCTAAATCCGCAATTTCCTATAAAACAATACCAAAACTACGGAAACACTAGAAAACGTATATTAGTAATAAAAGTGGCTCCGTAGAGCCAAAAATACTCCAAAATATGACCAAGGGACGGGGGTAAATCATTATATACAATAGACATATCACTCGCCCACCATGACCACCAACCCCCTTGATCTTGCTATCCCCCACCACCGACCACCGACCCTCCTCTCTCCCACCTGACCTTGACCTGTTTTGAGGGGCTTTCTGTTATGGTGGAGGTTGGGGTCGGGTTTCTGGGCTCGTGGAGGGGTGAGGGGTTAGGGCTTGTGAAGGGTGGGGTATTATGGGCAGGCGGTGTCTGTGAAGGGGAAAGATGGTTTTTGGGGCTGGGTTTTTGAGAGGGTGTGGTTTTCGGGAAGGGCAGGGCGGTTTTTGGGGTTGGGTTTCGAGGAGGGGGCGATGGGGCTCGAGATGGGGTGGGTTTTAAGGGTGGGGATTAGGAGGTGGCACATTTCCCGATGGTTGTGGATGGGAAGAGGGGGTGCCGGAGGTGGAGCAGTGCTGGTGGTGGAGTGGTGATTGAAAAGAAATACTAGTAAAAAATTAAATTTTTTTTAAGCTAATCATAGAGCAGCACGTGACATTGTAAACTTGTTCAACAGGTTACAATTGGTTTCGACTTGTTTAAAATTAATACTTCCCAAATGTTGTAATATTATGAATTAATCAAAAGGTTGTCTTATTTAATTTCAACCGCTTAAAGATTATATTAGTTATTTCAATTTTTCCAATATTAAAAACCGAGAGAATACTCTATTTAAGTTTTTCAAGATTAACCCGATATTATAAGACTTTTTTCACATGCCACCTCAGAATTCTTCACTCTTTGTAGTAAAAAAAACCGTAATAGTAATTACTCATACGTTTTTTTCTTTTTATTTGAAGCGAAGAAAGAAAATCAGCAGTACTAGGAAGAGGGTAAAAATCCTGAGAAGAGAAGCTTAACCGGAGTTGATGAACAGCGACAATTAAACAGCAAATCAACATCAATTCACCGGAATTTCTCAAAATCCGACCCGCTATATAAGCGGATTTAGCCTTCAATTTACGAATCCAAGTGAAGGGTTCTGCAATTCAATTACTCATTCATGGGTCGTCCTCCTACTCATGGCGCCCCGTCTTTCCGCTTCTTCCCTGCCGAGGTCACTTTCTCCCTCCTCTTTTTCCGTCTTTCATTCAACTTCATTTCTGGGGTCATGTATTTTTGAATAATTCAATGTGGGTTACATGCAAATTTAGTGAATTTTTTTGTAAATTGGATTTAAATATGTTGGTGTTTTAAAAATTTGGGTTATGTTGGGATTTTAATGTGTTGTTGAAGTACATTTTTTGGTCTGAATTTTGTTGAAATTATGAGCATGATCATAGTTGTTTTAATTATCTGATTTTTTTTATAAAAAAAAATTTGGTTTTTTGTTAATGTAAAATTTGGTTTTTTGTTAATGTAAAATTTGATGTATTTATATGAATGTTGTATACAGCTAAATTATTCATTCTGATTGAAGAAGATGACTCGGTTTATGCTGTGAATGACACTTGTAGTTCATTTGCTTGATGGAAATCGCCATTCCAGTTAATTGGATACTTTGAGTATCATAATTGATACTTTGATTGAAACAATTCTGCTTACTAAAGGAGATGCATTCGGATAAATATAAATTCTTGTATGTTTCATGTGGAATGGCAGTTGACTAGGACGCTATGCTTTTAATTTGGTTGTAAAATCAATTTCCTGCTGCTGGGTTTTTGCATATACTTCCTCTGTTTCTTTTTGGTATTTGATCGTGTTTTTATTTTTTTATTTTTGTTATGAATTCATGTGAGGTCTTGTTAGATTTGTTTCGATGCATAATTTAAATATATCAAGAATTTATAATTTTTGCTTACTGGTAATTAAGATATTAATGGTTGAATTTGTGAATTAGCAAGTGTGACTAAAGAAATGTGTCAAAGAAAAAGAAGTAGAGGGTGTTTAAGGTTTGTATCAGTACAGACCTTTGGCCCTTTGTATTTTTAATTTGTGACAATTTGTTACTAAGTCTTCTCCTATACACTGACAAATGGGGCGCCCGGGGGTGGGGTTGGGGAGGAGGGGAGGTTTCAGCCGTTTAGACTATTTTTATGGAGTAATATAGAAGAATATTGCATTTGGTGAAAGGTGTATAATTCACCCTTTCAATCTCTAGAGTTGTTTTGTTCAAGGCATACGTTCTTCTGAAAACTGACCTTGTCTTATTAGTGGAAGCTCTATGGACAACTATGTAAATTGTATTATATGCATCAAGAATTTGTTTGGTTGCTTGCATAGTATTTCAACTGTTTGCATTTCTTTTAATTCAAGGTGGAATTTGTTTGCTTTTAGGTTGCACAAATGGAAGCTCTTTTACGAGAACATGGTGGTCATGTTCCAGCTAGAGAGGTTCTTATGGCGCTTGCTGATAGATTCAGGTTTGTTACCTTTTTCAAATAAGGTAAGCTGTTAATTCCTATTTTGGTTTATCTGATCGAGGGATATTTATCATGAGTGCAGTAATTCATCGGAGCGATCTGGAAAAATCACAGTACAAATGAAGCAGGTATCGAATTAAATCTTAGAAATCAATTGATTAACCCATGGCTGTCACTATGTTCTTGGCTTTTAAAGTAATGTTTGATCACTGAATTTCTATTGCTTATGTTGTAGGTCTGGAACTGGTTCCAAAATAGGCGTTATGCCCTGAGGTCAAAATTGGTCAAGGCACCTGGGAACCCGAATATGCCACCTAATCCGCAGGCTGAAGTTACTCCAGTGAGAAATGTACCCTCTGTTCCTCAACAGACAATTGCACCATCACCGTCAGGTAGGATGAGTTTGATCACCAAGCATGCTATACCCATAGTATCTATAGTCGTAGGACGTTTCCCTACATTTAACTTTGGAATTATCATGTGTATTTATGTAACAGTAACATGAATATCATGTATCCTTTCATCCTGCTTCTTCCTTGGCATATTGATTTCTTGACCTCTAATACAAATGGTTTTTCCAATTTGGCTTCTAGACCTAGACTGATTTTGAATTGAGCGTTAGTTCTGATTTATAAAATTACCTTGGATATATGCTCAAACAATTTCCTGGTTTTGTATTCATTGTATCATATGTTTGTTGCTCTAGGGATATCAATATTCATTTTTGTTTACTTTTTTGCCAATGCATTGTAAGGACCACCTTAGTATAACCATTTCCCTCTCCTTTAAAAAAGTATGGTTTAGATTTGTAGAGGAGATTAAGATTGGTGGATGAACACGTGAACCTGTGTGCGTCTTTGGTGGTAGTGCTGATTTTGCTGGTTAATGATTAGACCTTGGGCTATTGAATGGAACACGATATGGTTTATGAATGAAAATGTGTTGCAAGACAAAACAACACTTGCAACGCAGCTTGAGATTTTATTACTAAAACTCTAGCTTTAATTGCACCTATTTGAGTCATTTCAATCGGAATTTCAAGTTGATGACTGAAAGAAGTTACTGAGAGCGAGAATGCCAAATCAAGGAATTACTTTTTACATATTTGACAAAGCATGCAAGGGAAAATGGCTTGTACTGCTGAATCTCTACTCTTTCTTACACTAGATTGATAAGGGTTTTATATTAGATTAAACAATTTGGACTTGGCTTAAGTCCAAATTCGAACAGAAAACATTCCTCTTGTTTTTTTTGATTGAGTCCCGATCTAAGCCTAATTGAAACCAAATCTAAACTTGCTACTTTGTATCCAAGCCAAATTACTCCCTCCACTCCTAAGTAAAAGTCCTATCTCACCCAAAAACTTGTCTATAAAAAGTCCCATTCCACTTATCTATTTCTTATTTCACTTTTAGTCAACCAAACCCCACTTTCTTATTACTTTATTCATTTTGAATAGAAGGCTGCCCAATTTCTAACCTTGATAAGTTTATAAAACTTATTAAGGGACAAATCGGTAATTGCATATTAACTATCCACTTGTTCCTTAAAGACTGTCAAATGACCTTCAATTGACGGTAATGGTTTTATGTTACAGATCATTTTCAAACCCCAAAAACCTTAACTTTCATTTTCATAATTTCTCTCTCCTTCCTTCTTGTACTTTCATGCCCTCTTGCTAGGATTTTCCTCTTTGAAGCCCTCATCTAAATTTACTCTTCTTTTTGAGTTGATTTCGGTTCTTGGCTATTTGATTATGTGCTTTCTCTTTTTTCTCCTGTTACTTTTTTCTCACTCCTCTCTTGCACAAATTTGCGCCCCTCAACGTGAAGCTTCATCATTGTCAACCCTCTTCACTTTGATCAGATCTTTGTTCATCCCTCTTCCAAATGGAGTTTTATAAATTCAAGAAGATTCAACAGCCATTTGCCCAAATATCATCCAAAGGAAGGAGGTACCAAATTGATTTCAACTTGGTACCAAATGAAACAATTGGTGTAATATTGACATAAATTTAGTACCAAGCTGACTTCTGTTTGGTAAAATTAACATACATTTGGTACCAATTACCAAAAAAAAAAAAGCGTCATGAAGTTTTCTCTATGTTTTGTGGCGTGAAGGGTGGACAAATTTAAGTGGTTTGCTGCCATGAATTTTTTTGGGAGAGAAAATGAAATTTTGCATGAACCATACTTCACTTTTTGGAAACATAAAACATAACTCTGTGAGTTGACAACCGTTAAATGCATAAACAGCTAACTCTGCTTTTTCATTTATTATTATTATTATTATTATTATTTATTTTTTTTTTAATTTATTTTTATTATTATTATTATAAAAGTTCATTTTATTTTCAAGAATGCCACTTGATTTGTAGGTTAGGAATTAGGTATTTCCCCTTTCAATAAACCAAAATTCACTATCTTGTTTTTTATTTTTCACTTTTAATCAACTATACCCCATTGTATTAATTCTTATTCAAATTTGGTTCATGTAGCCGACCCCACTTATGGGATTAAGGCTTTGATTGATTGATTGATCCTTACAAACATGAGCAAAAAGCAATTCAACTTTTTATGTAGGAACGGAGGGAATATTAAAATTTTGTGATGGGCCATATACATTAAATATCTCGGAATGGAGGGAATATTGATATTTTGTGATGGGCCATATACATTTATGTACAAATTAATGAATAATTAACCTTATCAAACTCATAACTTGGCTCACATACCTTCAAATGCACTATTACATTCACCTGTTTGGGCCTAATTTTTGTGCTCTATTGTATATTATTTTTAAAAATGATACATTTATGTCTTTTTTGGATCCAGATATCCTATTCCAATTCCAAACAAAAGTTCCATATGTTTAAAGATTTAATCCGTTAAAGAATTGTTTAGTTTGGACTTTGGACAATTTGAAACTTAACCTTTTGCCTCTTTGAGTTCATATGCAAATTAAGTTGATTTGAAATATGTTCTAATATAACTCCTTGCATTCTTTTTGGTTGCCTCCTTTTCTCTTTAAGACCTTAGGATCAAGAGTTATACTCCACCCTTCGTTTTTTTTTTTTTTTTTTTTTTTATGTTCTTGTTTGAAATCTTGCAGCTAATCACAACTTGAGAAAATGTTTTAAATTCTTTCCAATTCATGTTGTAAAAACACGAGTACATGACATATGAGGTCTTATTTAATTTGTCTCGATGAGTGCTTTTAGAATATCAAGTTTATAGTATATTTACTATTCGCAATTAGAGATCTCAATGGTAAAAAATGTGCATTGAAAAAAGTGTGTAATTCAAAACAAGAACATCAAAAAGAAACAGAGGCTATATAGGTTTATATTTGAAAGCATTCTTAATAGTGCACTTTTACAAAATTACCTTTTTACTCACTCTATCTGAATATAAATGACCATTTAAGGTCACTTTTCCCCAAAACCAATTTGTCGACCTTTTCAAAGTTTATGAAAAACCCAGTTCGACGATTGTAGTTGAATAGGTTGAACAACATATTGTATAAATATAAATGGAGGAGAATAGAGGGAATTTTTTCTATGAGTAGTTGAGTTCTAAGATTTTATGGATGTAGACACTACTAGATTTCTTTTACTTGAGTTTTGCATTTATTCTTATGTAAGAACATTATGGAAGTAGTTTTATAAAGTGGTCATGAGAAGTTTTTATTCTCCTGGAATATTAGCATATCCAACATTCCTCAGTTTGTTTGATTTTTTTTGTGATGATGATTTTTTACGGCCAATGTTCACCCATTTATTGTAAATTAATAAATTGAAAGAAAAAAAATCCATAGCCATATGAACATATATTCAGATATTCCTGTATAAATAGAGTAGTGTTTTTTTTTTTTTTTTTTTTTTAATTATTATTATTATTATTTTTTATTTAAATTAATTATACTTTAATATTGTTCAGATTTTTCATGCTTTAAAATTACTTTCAACACATTGACTTTAACGTTTGCCAATGTACAAAATTGACCAGTTATATTTTCGCTTATATATTGGTAAAGATTACAAAATTGATATTATCCATTGAGCTAAATCTGACTATATATTGAGCTAAATCAAACATTTTACATACTCGTGGTGATTTTGTCATTTATATACTTTCTCCATTCTTTTAATTGCAACATTAGGCATATCATGCTTGTCGATGCACATCTTATGCTATTAATATCTTTTATTTTATCTAAAATTATAAAAAGCAATCGAGGTAAATCAAGCAAGATCAGACATGATTGTGTTTCTTCTAACATATAAATCACAAAAGATGGTTAAAAGAGTGTAAATTGTGGAAAAAGTCGAACGTTGCGATTAAAAGAGAACTGAGGAGGTATTGTGGTCAAAGCAATCATATGAATTGTGCAAAAGTCAAAGTGTTGCAAATATATAGAACAAGAGGAAATATAATATATATTTTAACATTAATTACCTTGTTATGCAAAATTGGGTGGAAAGCTAACAACGGGGCATTAATTTTACTCATAAGACTGTTAATGAAATAATGACCTAGTCCAATTCTTCGTTAATATTTGCATCTTTGTAGAGAATGCCTAGATTTTTAGCTTTACAGCGCTGCAAGAAAGCCAAATTGGTGCTGTTTTACTGACTAATGTTTTTAAGGAACAGGCGGGAAGGCCTATAACCATAATTTTTTTGTCAACCTCCATCGGAACAAAGGGAACAAATTATTGGTTTACTTACATTTTTTTCTCATGGCTATATTAATGTTACTAAAAAGAAATTAAGATATCTAAAAACACAATTGTACAGACCTCTAGAAGAATGGAATTGGCTAGAATCTTCTACATGTGTTGGTAGTTTGGGAAGATTTTCTTCTTTTACCAGGCATAATTTAAGTCGTAAAGCAAACAGGACATCAATCAAAAGTACAAATCGTTGCAAGAACAAGATCCACCCTCCTGATCTTGAGAAGCTATCATATATAAGAAGTTGGCCTACCTTGTATAATATTGAAGGCTAACTTTTTACAGCTTGTTCACATAAACTGCTCAAGGAGTATTGTAACCTAACTGGCCTTCACTTTTTATGACAACCTAGTTCTAATTAATTTTTGAACTTGTTCTACATTAAAGAGAATTATTGGTGGCATATCTGAATCTAGTAGACTAATTTATTCTGTTTTAGCATATTGGTTAGTTTTTCTTGGAAGAGCGAGGAGACACAGGTAAGAATAAATGATGTAAACTGATGGAAAGAAGAAATGGATGAGAATTATTGTTTCCTACTTTATGATGATTATTGTTATTTATTACTTTATGGATTGTGCATGTTTCAAAATACTGGTACAACAACAGTTAAATCCAGACTGTGCAGTCTAATTTAATGTTGCATTAACCCTTGCCCATTTTAACCAAATGAGACTCAAAATAAATTTCCAGAATGAAAAATTTACTGTTCATAAAATATAGCCTTAATAAAATTAAGAAATAGCAATAGGGAGAATTATAAGTTATGGTGATGGGGATTTTCCGCTGTATACAATGCACTCTCTAGCATTCCTATTTTGTGACAAGTTTATATATAGTGTCTCTGTTTTACATACTACCACTATATAACCTGTTGGTCAACTCAACTGTTGCATAAATAGCAGAAGTGTTTGTTGTTGACACTTCAGTTGATCAATTTTTACGTTGAACTTTTGCAGCATAATTTACTATGGCTTGTTTGGCCAGTAGGGGTAATGTGAAGGGGTAAAGAACAAGGGAATGGAGGAAATTTGCCCCTCATTTTTTTTGAATAGAGAGAAAGAAGAGGAATGGAGGAAAGATATCTTCAGCATTTAATTCTGGCCATTATATCCGGATTTTCCGGCCTTTATTTCGCTACCGTTTTTTGTTTGTTTTTCCCTTGTCACATTTTTCATCTTTAACTCTCTTTTTGAGCCTCTCTTCTCTCTTCCTTTGAAAGGAGATCTCAGGGCTTTGTTTACCCTCTGATCCGACAACATGAAGCGTTCTGTTCCTTTGAAGGAATACTCAGCACCTAAAATCGGTAAGATTCGAGGTTGAGTAGTAGTGGCTGGAATGCTTTCTGTCACTCTATATCCCTCTTTTGAGTTTTTTGTAAAATTGTATCGTGAAGTAGGGTTTTGTGTCCCCTCCATTATCGATTTATCTCCTCTTCTATTTTCTTCTCAAATTAGCGCTGAGATTCTGAGAATTCCTCACTTATATTTCCTCCTCTCTCTCTTATCTCTCTTTATATGAACCTAGCATGATGCTCTTAGAGGCAATTTTACTAATCTGTGATGTGAACAAAGTTAGATTTAGAGTGATATTTTGATGCAGGAAAATTATTCTGTGGATTTTTAGACTAAAAGTCAAATTCTCTATGTAGTTGGATGCATCTAGCTTTTCGATTTCTCTCTTTCAACTAATCTGCTCTGCATCACTTGTAGCATAGTCATGTCTTGTATACTGAACAGATATTTTCCATGTTTGCTGAATGGTATTTGTTTATTTATCTTTTGCACTTTGTTTGTCAAGGAGTGATATATCCAGGCGTGTTTATGGAGTTGCATTTGCTCTTTTGATAAGAATGCACAATGATATAAATGTTCTTTACATCCTAACAAGTCCTAATATGTCTTTTTAGGTCATAATGTGGCAAAAAATACAACCGAAAATCCTTTAATGGAATTTGAAGCCAAATCTGCTAGGGATGGGGCATGGTAAATAGATCTTCTATTTAAATATTGATAGTAATACATATTTAATCTTTTGGTAACTTTATAATTTTTATATTTGTCATTAATTGTTTATTCAGAAACTAATACTTGATATCTCTATCTGTTAGGTATGATGTCCAAGCATTTCATTCTCATAGATATCTTGAGACTGGTAATCCCGTAAGTGTTCAGAATTCATCTGATTTTCATAAAAAACTATTAAATTTGGAGGTATATGTAACCTTTTTGGCCTTGCCGAGTTACGAGAAAGACTTAGTGATGGTTTCTGACTTCATGAATAGGTTTTGAGGATCTGCATTCCTTCTGTGTCATTTTAGCTCACTTTTCTTCCCATGAAACCCATTGCCATTATATTTTGTAGTCGGCGTGGGTGGGGTGGGGGGAGGGGGGGTGGTAATCGCAACTTCAACCTTTCACCTCCACATTTATTTCATTACAAAAACTTCCTGTGTTGACCAGCGATAACAATGCTGGGAGGTGGGTATGGAGTATGGACTCTGGAGGCCAGTATAATGATGGTGGTTCCAAGTTTGAATCTATGTTTCTTTTTTCTTACATTTTAAAATGTCAATAGATTGGAAGAAATTGATCCTATTTATCTATTTTTATTTTTTTTGGTTGAGATCTAGAGAAAGCCTGTGGCAAGAATTATAACCTCTTCTCTCCAATCCTCTCATACCTCAGTACAGCCTCTTCTTTGGCCTACCAAACCTTCAAAAATCACTCATTAATGCCTAGGAATCTAACCAAATCCTCAGCCCCTTCATTACCATCAAGACTAAGTTAGAGAGCCCTTGCTACCTTGTCTGTTACCCTCCTTGGTGTCAGCAAGCAAGTTTGTAACTTTAAAGTTACCAAGGCTCATATTTGGTCGTGGTTGCTGGAACCAACCTCGAAATATTTTCAGTTTTTGAAAAAGTTTCACTTCTTTATTATTAAATTACTTGATTTTTGTGAATGAACAGAGAACTCTGTAATCAGAATTATATCTTATGTCGGAATACTTCTATATTATTTTTTATCACGTATTATGTTGTCATGGGTAGAAATTACACTTATAACTGCAATCTAATTATGATGGACCATTCAGGTACTCGCTTACCAATATAAATATGTCGCTATAGCTGGGTGTTTTATCACTGCTCCACATATACGTGGGGTTTCAGCTTTAAGGCCTTTCGCAAGGTACAAGTTGTACAATATATGCCCGAATTTGTACAAGTCAAGCACGAACATACTACCTTAGTTTCACAATGATTTTAACATTTGTCATTTTGGTATGTTTCAAAAATGTTCTTAACATGTTGCTTTGTCATATCCTCTTTACTATCCTAGTCCACAATGTTTACACATTTCCACTCACTCTTTCTTACCCTATTCACTTTGTTCTTCCGCCCACCCACCTTTTTTTTGTTTTTTTTTGGTGTATGGATTATCTGTATCTGTCTGGGAGCAAGAAGAGTTATCGGAATCTAAATGCTTCTTCAACTACAAAATTTTGTAGGAAAATGTTACCTCTTTGCCTGCCTTTCTTTTCCCCTCTTCTCTGCTTGTTTTATAATCTTGATAATCATTTATATATTTATTAACTTATTTATAACTCTACAGAAGAGAAAGCTTTCTGAATCAATTTGGAATCAAGTAAGATATGAGAAATATCTACTAGACTACAACACATTTAAATTAAATCATCTCAACATTCATCAATATATCTTAATATTTACCTTTAAAAATTTGAGTATATTCTCGAAGCTTAATAACTTGCAGAATACAATAGAATTGGATTCTGTTACAACAGTCAATATAATTTTAGTTAAATGAGTCCTATTTGATTCTCTCATGGATCCATGGTGACGTAGATCTAGTTTACTAGTGATCTTTGGTTACGCTGCTTTTAAATAAAACCATGATAGCTTGGCTCCTAGTTATTCAGAGTTGTTGCTGGTTTAGGGTGTTGGCCTATCTACATCTTGTGCTCATTTGTGGTATCCTATATAGGACAGTCTTGTTGTTGATTAATATTTAGCTCTTTATCAGATATGTGCTGAATAATTCTAGATGTAGAATTATCTTTGTTCTTGTCTATTTTATCACTCTTCTTATTATCTTGGATTTTCATGTCAACACTCGACACTGTGACGTGTATGAAATTTTTACCCATCACTTTGATTTCATCTAGACCTAATGATCTTGATTAACATATTGGTAGAGATAAACTTTAATATAGAAGGATGGCAAACAGAAAGAAAATAAGCCAATATGTGCTAAAATATGAGCTATAGATAAGGATGTTAATCACAACTAGGAAACAAGTAATTCTAAAATATTTGTAATGTGAATTGACATAAGTAATGTAGAATCAGGAATGTGTTTCACTAATGCTGTGTCCCTGCATACTTGTCCAAATTTGGATCTTTGCATGTCTAACACTTGAATTTGTGCTCATACCTGACACTCGTACCCATGTCTGAATTATGGGTTTCAGGAAGTTCTGATCCGTTTTTCTGGATTTGGGCCAGAAGAAGATGAGTGGGTTAATGTTCGCAAACATGTTAGACAGAGGTCACTTCCATGTGAATCATCAGAGTGTGTTGCAGTTCTTCCTGGGGATCTCATCCTCTGCTTTCAGGTAGGACTTGATCATTCAATTATGACTTAGAATTGGCAATACATTCTGACACTGTGCTTTTGTACTTCAAATATATATTCAGGAAGGAAAAGAGCAAGCTCTTTACTTTGATGCTCATGTCCTTGATGCTCAAAGGAGGAGACATGATGTAAGAGGCTGTCGCTGCAGGTTTCTGGTCCGTTACGATCATGATCAGTCTGAGGTATTTCTCCACCTCTGTGTTTCTGCTACTTTTGATATTCTACAAGATTTCTTAACATAAGAGATACCCGAGGGAGAAAAAACAATACCTCTGTGTTTGAAGCTGTAGAAAGTTGTTGTTAATCCTTAATTTGTGCAAAGAAATGGCTCAAATTGTAGATCTTATATCTGCATTTATCCTTTTGTATCGGGTTATGTAATTCCCACTGAAATCATATGGTGTATCTTGTGCGATAGGAGCTGAATGATTTATCTTACCTGTCATTGAATTGACATCTTGGCTATACTTTAAATTTTGGTGCACTTAGTAGAAGACCATGTTCCCATGCTTTGAGTTTGAAGTTTTGTTAAGGAAAATAAGATTACTTTCTCAGTTTCTCTTAGTTTTCTAATAGTCGTAATACATTTCTTTGTATGAAGTTTCAAATTAGGTTTTTAGTAGTCACATGGGCAAGATATTTCATCTCTCTCCCTCCCCTGATACATGGGTCTCCTAAATTGCTGCACTCCCCCCCCCCCCCCACCCTTTAACGAAGGAAGAAGCCAGCCAAATGGAAGTTATATGGGCCTGATGCATACAATCTCCTGACATCCAGCTTTAAATTTACTTTTTAATGTATGAACTTAGGAGGATGAAAAGGGTTTTTTAATTTAATTTATTGATTCTTTTCAAAGTTAATCAAAGAAACACTCATTGTTCTTTTGTTTCTGCCTTTAGGAAATTGTGCCCTTAAGAAAAGTATGTCGTCGGCCAGAAACTGATTACAGGTTGCAGGTGCTTCATGCTGCCAATGAATCAGCATCAGCATCTGTTTCTGCAGACTCCAAAAAGGCTGTAGTTGACCCTGCTTCAAGCAGCTCATTGAGGGTGACTAGTCATAATCCCAGTGCTTTTGTTGGAGTATCTGCTCCTACTATTATGAGTGCAGGGGCTGGTGGTCCACATCCAACTACAACTGCAACTCCAGTTCCAACTGTAGCACCTGCTCCAACTCCAGCAACTGGTCCTGCTTTAGCTTCAATCCCATCTCCTGCTCCTACTTCAAATTCAGTTTCAACTCCAGCTCCAGCTTTGGCTAATGCTTTAGCATCAACTTCAGTTCCAGCTCCTGCTTTAGATTCAACTTCTGTTGCTGTTTCTGCTGAGGCTGAGCGGGCTCCTGCTTTAAATTCAACTTCAATTGCAACTCTGGCTGCGGCTTCGGCTCCAGCCTTGGCTCCAGATCTGGCTCAAGCTCCAGCTCCAGCTCCGGCTGCGGCTGCGGCTTTAATCCCGGCTCCAACCCTTTCTCCAGATCCAGCTGTAGCTTCATCTTCCATTCCAATTTCTGCACCATATTCATCTCCGAGTCTGACTTGTGCTTCAACTCTGTCTCCGAGTCTGGCTTGTGCTCCAAGTCCATCTGTGAGTGCTACTGCTATTCCGATTTCTGTTCCAGATTCTGCTTCGGCTCCACCTCCAGACCCAGTTCTAGTTACTACTCCAGCTCCAGTTCTGTTTTCTATTCCAGCTGCAGCTCCAGAATTGGGAAAGACTAAGAGTGGCAATTTAAGAACTTCAGCTACTGAAGCTTTTGCTGAGAACATTATCAATCCTGGTGCTGCTAGCGAGATTGTAGAAGTCAAGAAGGAAGAGGGACAAAATCTGGAAAGTTCTATGTTTGCAGGAAGCAACATCTCTCAGGGAGAAACAAGTGATAATCCTTCAATAACAATTCCTGGATCAGAAAAACCTGGAGTAATTGAACCGATTGAACAGGCTATGGCAGTGAGCACTGCAACAACCGGTAGTAGTCCAATTGTTTCAAGTCTTTCAACGAAGGCAGAGAGTAGCAATCAGGCTGTGTCGGCTGAGGATACAAAGGAATGAAACATGGAATGTAGCTTAGGTTAAATTAGTTCCTAATTTCTTATCTTGTTTTTAGACCCATTATTTCTTGCTTCATCTGCTCAGCTGCTCTTTTGACTGCTGCAGTATTTGACAGTTGTAGTGTATTTTAATACTTCATATAGAAATCAACTCTATAACTATCGCAATGCTTGATTGTAGTTGTATATTTTCTGAATTTTTAAGTCCCCTTAAAGCACACTTACTTGCTAGTATTTGATGCTTAAAGGTTGATTTATTTTCACATAATTGCAAACTAATTGCTTTTTAGTGTGAAAATTTTATTTTTGAGGCTTCCTAAGTGTTAAAGATTCAATCTTTATTTGTGATAAGTGATTGAAACTTTAAAAACCACTAAATTCCATGTTATTTTATGTTAAACTTTGTTGTTTTAATCATTTTGAGTTGATTGGAAACATAAAGTTTCAATTTTTGTGATAGAAATTTGGTTATCTTCATGTTGGAAGATATAATTTCAAGGATTCACAAAATTTAGATGTTGGAATTTTCATTTGAACATTAAAGTTCATATTTTTCCTACTTCCCCTTACTTTGTCAAATTCTCAAGTTTAATTCAAATTGATTAAATTGAAAGTGAGAAATTACCTCAATTTAATTTTGCACCAAGCTAAACCAATTTAATTAAGAATGGTTCTTGGAATTATTTTGGTTATTTGCACTTTAAAAATTTTATTAAGTTAGACTTGTTTAGATTTTTTTTTTTATTTTGCTCATTAAATTAGTTCTAAAATTAATTTAGAATTAATTAATTTTGTCTCCCGAAAAGGGATCAAATCCCGAGGCCATGGCACGCAAAACGAGGCAAAGAACCACCTTGGCGAGCCGGGCTGCACAGCAGCCCGCATGTGGCTGCCAAGGTGGCTGCCCCACCTTGCGTGCGCCCATACGCGCGACAGCAACACACGCGCGGCAGCAGCACACAGGCTGCAGCAGCCACGCGCGGGCGTGCCGTGGCAGTAGTATGTGGCCGCGTGCCGTGGGCCGTGTGGGCGGGTTTTTGGGTGTGTGCGTATGCTTGGTGCGGTGAGGTGACTAGCCGTAATATTGCTTATTTTGCCATTTTATTTATTTTAATTAATTTTGTTTATTTTAATTAAAATTTTGGGAGGCTAGGCCTCGGTTTTGTGCGGCATTGGCAAAATTTTATTTTGACAAGTTTGGGTGCTACCGACTTAATTAATTAGATTAATTAAGGGAAATGCGGAATTTAGTGGGAGCTTCAATTATTAATGACGTCAGTTACATAATCGGTTAAACAACTTTGACTAGTTTTAATTAGGCGTGTTAATCGGATTAACCACCTAGATTAGTTACTAGTGTGCGAGTTGTTTAAATGCATTTTACTTGTTTGATTTTGTAAATTGCATGGGCCATTCACAAATAGTGAATGGATGAATGGAATGTATATTCTCTCTCACAGGTTTTATGAAATGGCAACTAGTGGGATCCGACTAGGATAGAAAATACGGACTACGTGTCGTTATGTATTTTTGTAAATCTAAATACGGTCTACGCACCGTTAAGTATTTTTGTACCTTTATATTTAGATTATTCCTAGTCGTAGACACTAGTAATTTGCATAGTTTGGTTAAGTCTTGAAGATGGCGTATCTTGGAAGACAAAGCCTTGAATTGCAAATGAAGACCTTTTGAAGATTTGAAGAATTCAAGGGTTCATGCTAGTTGCCAATATGCATCTATAATTTCGCTTTATATTTTATGCTTATATATATGTGAACTATTCGTTAGATGCATGTTTAGTTTTCTTGATGTTGCGATGATTAGTTAAGTTCACTTAAATCAACCAACATAGAAATCCTAGGTCCCTAATAATATTGAGTCAAACTTGCCTTTCCAAAACGACACTTATTGACCGGACGAGGATGATGGTAGGCCACGCCAAAGCGAGGTGCCATCACTTCTCCAAGGCGCGTAAGGCACACCGGGTGTGCACGTTGGTTTTGGTTTAACTCATCGGTATGAGTGAGGAGTCCTCACATACCGTGGCAAAAGAGATACATCGTCAAAGATGCATTAGATGGACGATTGTCTAACCAAGAGTGGCTTAGAGCCATTAGCAAGGCAATGCTTACCCTAGAAGATTGAGTGTTTAAGACAAGCCAAAACATGCTTAACCACTCTTTGTTTCTTCGGATCTTGGAATCGCCTTATTTTCGCCAAATAGGGACAATTATTATGCGTAAATAAGACGTTTAATAAGATTGAAGTTTGCATGAATGCTATTAAATTTCAAACTTATTATGTTCTTGATAAATGGTTATACTTAGCACTTATATTTATAGTATTCTAAATCAAATAATATTGTTTCCATGATTGGTAAAGGAAATCTTTGAGAATAGATCTCAAAGACAGGAAGAAGCATTTCTAAAATACAATTCTCATAAATGACTTTTATAACTAAGTCCGAAATGACGGTTGGACATCATGTATTCAAAATACTATGTAGTTTTGATAAAACATGAGGAATTGAGTTGCAATCTCAAGATTGACAACCAACGTATCCTTTCGCATCATACATAATTGAGTAGGACTCATTGATGTAGTAATTCGAGTAAGAATTAATGGAAAAGATGGAACTTTGTTTTACGGCGCACTAGGTGCTTGATTATGCCTAACAAAGTATAAGAGTCAAGGTACTTAAAGAAATGATTCTTAAAGTAAGATTATGAGATATTGTATGATAAGAAATATAGGAAAGAAGGAACGAAGAAAAGGAATTAGATTTCATTTCAACTCATGAGTTCATGTTATTGTAGTTAACTTAGCAATTCGTTATCTTCACAAGTATCGGATACTGCTTGAGTGTTCCACTATGATAGTGACCTCAAACTATTGAAGTTAAGCTAAGTTATCGACTTACAAGCTTAGAATGAAGCAAGAAGAGCTACATCAGTTGTAAGGTCGTATGTTTTGTTTAAAGACCTTTTAAGCCAAAGGCTGGAACAAGTAATGGTTATTATGTCCCATAATCAGCAATTGATCCGTTTACACACGGAAAGACTCACATTTAAAGTAATGAGCAATAGTTGCGAGATTTACTTGAAAGGCATGGTTATCCAAGCATTGAGTCAAGAATGCCTGATTATAAACAAACATTTCCCTAAACATGATAAACTCACTAAGTTCAAGTCATGGGCTTGATTTGCATTCCGAACATCTTTAGCAATGTCACATTGACAAGAACGTACTCAAAGGCTCTATTAGATAGACTCTTGATAGTTTCTCGATTTGGAATCGTTCTAAGACAAGCAAGTCTTACTTGTTGAAACCGACAAAACAGAGAGCTATTGTTCTTGGTATAGACAGTTGACTCCGAAGGCTAAAGAGGATTCAATTACTTCAACGTTTCACAAAGAATTTGAAAGGATATGGCTATATTCATCAAATGTGAACAAACTTGACTTGAGTAGCTCAAGAGTTCAGTGAAGTACAGAATCGACTTGGCAATATATCAAAACGTCTAGATTAGATCGAGCGATGTTTGCTTGAGCCCAGCGTGACTATCTCAAAGTTATGAATGGAAATTTTCATAAATAACTCCACAAAGAACATAGTGTGTCTTCATGGAGACCTCGGTGTCATTTGAAAATGACTCGAACAATGATGGTTCACAACCCTTCCTATAAAGTTCTTAAAGATTTTCACAAATGACTAATGTTACACTAAACAATGTGTCGAAGCTTAGAAAGGACGCCATATTCAGTTATGGATAGAAATAACTTCTAAAAGTCTTTTCAAGTATATGTCTAAGGCTCTTAGTCTCAGTGGGAGTTCACTAGCTTAGTGGGAGCAAAGTGGCTCAGTGGGAGCTAGGTGACTCAGTGGGAGCTGAATGGCTCAATAAAGACTAAGATAGCTCAAGTAGGAGCTAATTGTTTGTTTCACAACGAACTTTTACCCAAAGGCAATATACATGTCTCTTTGTAAGCATACAAGTGAGACTACGGGTATTACCTCCACATCCTAATTGAGAACAAAAATTGTTTGTTGCTCTAAGTAGTGTCTTTTTGGAAAGTAACATGTTTCCAAAACGACAAGTGGGAGACAAATGAACTCGATGACCATCGAACTTAGCAACAAACTAGAACTGAGAATCTCGGAAGACCTTAAAGGACTTCATGAGAATGCTTGATCAAGAATACTCAAAAGGATTTTACAAGTGCCTTAAAATAGAATTCATTACTCACAAAACATTAAAAATGTTGGAGTAAGATCAACATAATAAAAGGGCTTTGAAAGCGCCTTAAAACTCAGTGTTTGATGCAATTGCCCCGTATAGGTATAGAATTCACCAAAGGCTTGGATTGAATCCTATAAATTTTCTATTAAGTTAGAAACAAAACTAAGACTTACAAGCATACTATTTACTATTAGATAGTAAAGGAATAATGTCTTGTAAGATAGCTACGACAAATCCAAATTCCGAATAATGGTTAAAGACCATGAAAATCCAAAATAGACTCCATGTTTGAAAATCATGTTTGAAACTTGATTAATTTGCATGAAAGGTGAAAGACCCATCGATTGCAAATAAGTTTTCAAGGAGAAAACTAGCAAATGTGGAAATGTATATGCATACATAGCTAGATTGGTTGTAAAGGATATAATTAATATCAAGGAGTTGATTTTAATAAAATCCCATTCACCAATCGGAATGCTCAAGTCTTTTCGTGATTGATCTAGTAAAATTGCACATATGAAATGTGGCAAAATAGATACAAAAACCGCCTACCCAAAATAGGATTTTGGAAGTGACTATGGAATATTCTAAGGGTTTTGAAAATCTAAATAATGCTAGATTTGAAAGCAAGCACATGGAATCCATCATAGGATTAAAGGAAGCATTGCATGAAGGAATTGGAACGTGTTTTCTCATAAAGTTAATAAGAGGATTGACTTATGGAGAAACATAGAAATTCTGATGAACAAAAATTTTAGTGGGAGCAAAAGTAATGGTCCAACAAGAAGTTTACGAACTCTATTGTAAAATAACCATCAAATGCTAAATGTTTAGATTTGAAAGTATTTTCGACAATGGACCGAGCTAAAGACGATACTTAGTACATGTTGGGAATTAAGTTCTATGGTATAGTCTTAATTAAATGTTT